ATTTTAGGCTAACAGATGTGAACATCAACAGATGTGATTTTAGCTGAAACAGATGTGATATACTCACTTTGTCTACCCAACATAAAACATAGACACACAGAGTGATTAAAACAATTGAGCAAGATGCTTTCTTACTCAAAGTAAAAGTTGTATTTGTGCCTGTGAAGTTTAAATAGAATGTTAGATACTACAGATGTAATTAAAGAAATAAAGGAGTCAGGGACTGACAGGTTTTATTTATGTAAATACTAGATGTAACGGACCTCCTGTCAACATTTTAGTAGTTACTTCCCAACTCCTTCTCCAAATCAGACAGAGAATAAGAACATCAGACCTTCCTTGAGGTCTCACCAAGCTATCAGTGTGAAGCATCCTCAAAGAAAACACAGCTGAGATGCCTAAAACTTCCCATTCCCTTTCTCAAGAATTTAGCTCTGGAAAACGTAAGCCAAGTGGTGCACTGGTACTTCTCATTGTCACTTACCAAAGGAAGAGTTACAGGCAGGAAAGCTAAAAAGAAAGAAACCTTTATTTTAGTAACAGTAACTACTGCGAGTCCAGATTGAATTTATTTATCTATATATTTTAAACAGAAAATTTCCTAGCTCCCCCTCCTTTAGTTTCAGCTGTCAATAAAACACTTGTTCATCAAATAAATGTAAAAAACAATGATAACCTTTGTCTCTCATTCCTCATTCAAGAAATGAAAGCATCTGGTCTTGGCTTATAGCCAAAAGGAGTCCCCATGAACCCCAATCATAAAAGCCACTTGGAAACTGTATGACCAACAAACTGCATGACTACTCAAAGAGACACTGGCAACAAAGGCTGCCACAGCCATGAGTGCTCATGGAAAAATGTTTATTTTCAAGCAGACCGTAGGAATAAATAAGTCTTCAAAAATTAAGAGTGCAACTAACAGGGACAATAGTCCACTTGGTTCCCATACAGAGAAAAGCACCACTGCGTGGCATTGCATGGAATATTTACTATCTGCCATCCCCACTGATGCTTTAGTTACGTGCTTCTCTGAAGGAAGCTCACCTGGAGGTCTGAAGAAAACAGGAATTGTCCTGCCTGTATCAGGATGTACACTGGCCTTAGAAGAAGAAGAAAAAAAAAAATTAGACCACCTGTTCCATACTTAAATAAGAAAGAAAAGAAAATTGATTTCTAAGTCATTTGGAAACTTACCAGGCTCAGCAGGAAGGCTTGTTTTGTCTAAATAATTTGAGAATCAGGTTAGTAATGAAGCTTTCAAAAAGCATGACTGAAATCTTGTTTCTAAATTTACTACATCATTTTTTTCTGATAACTCACTTTTATGCAGTGTTGTGTGTTCACATCCCTTTAATTTTTTCCCTAAAATTTCTCCCCACATACTTTGCTGAATATAATCTAGTCACGTCTCATATGCTATTAATACTAAACACATACTATAGCAAGTAAATTTTAAATAAGCCAGTATTCAGAACAGAAAATAACAACACTTAAATATGGCTAAAAGCCTAAAGACTTATTGTTAAGACTTGGGCTTTTCTACAGCCACTGAATATTTCGGTTCTCCTTTCAGGCTCTGCCACACAGGGTACAAAATGCCATATGGGTACAGCAGAGTCTCCACTGAAACAAAAGCAAGACCCTTCTAATGAAGCAACTTCAGCACTTCCTCCCAGCAACTCCATGAGGAGGTTTCCCTCCAGGTACTGCTACTGCTCATTTCATGAGAGGTGAAACCAAACAAACCTGCGCTCTGTGTGATGACACAACACCAAAAAACACAAAATGCACTCTGTAAATATTTTGCACGTTTTGCATGTTCTCCAGAATGATTACACTGAAATTTGACAGCAGTCATCCAAAGAAATTCCTTCCACATTATAGAAACATTTCTGTTGTAAAGAGGTTTTCTTGTATTATCCCTTGTTACCGAATCTCAATATTCTGTCTGATCTTACACTAACATCAAGTATTTCAATCATGAAAAAAAGACATCTCTATTTTCTATCAGCTGTGCTCCAAGATACCTGATGATTCTGTACGGTCTCACTTTGGGTCTTCTCATTGTTTTCTAATAATAACCGGGCTCTTCTTATTTCATCCTTTATTAGAGAAAAAAAAAAAAAAAAAAAGAAAGCAAACAAAAAAATAACTCAGATTTCAATAGTCTAGAGTACAGCATATCAGCTGTGATGCTATAAACACAAACCTGCAACATCAAGCCAGTACACCCATCCCTCACAAGAGTAATGAAAGCAATAATGAAGTATGCTGGCAAACTCCACTGCCAACCCTTAAATGAGGGCTGGGAAGGAGTGGATCCTGGCTCCATCCCTTCCAGTCACTCAGCTGCACTGCATGCACCTGAGCTCCCCTGGGCTGGCCCTGCCTTCCACCAGGTGCTCAATCACTGCTTCAAGCTGTGACTTAGCATTTCTGCTACAGCTGTCTAAACAGAAAGACTCCTAGGAGGCTTTATGAGATGACTGGAGTTTTCTTCAGCAGGTGTATCTCTGTGTGTAACTGCGTATCCTAACGCAAGGAGGTGTGATCTCGGCCCTCCAAATTCCTGAATGTACTACCAAAGTTTACTTTGGTGTTCATATATTTAGTGTACAAGTATTAAAATTAAATTTCCTCTGTCATATCTAACACAGATGGAACTACAGAAGGACACTGTTCCTGCTACCTAACCTGAACCTCCCCTGGCACAACTGGAAGCCATCATCTCTCATCTTATTGCCACAGCCTTCTTGTAGGGCAACGTAGAGTGCAACGAGATCTCCTCTTCTCCAGATTAAACCATCCCAATTCTCTCATGCGCTCCCCACAAGATCTGAGTTCCAGATCCTCACAGCTCTGTTGCCCATCTCCAAGCATCCTGCGGGTTCCTGATGTCTTTGTTGTAGTGAGGGGCCCAGAACTGAGCACAGCACTGAGGTGCAGCCCCACCAGTGCCAATACAGAAGAATGGTCACCTCCTGCTCTCGGCTGCACTACTGCTGGCTCTGGGCAGGACGCCGCTGGCCTCCTCGGCCACCTGGGCACACATTCAGCCGAGCATCATCCAGCACCTCCAGATCCTTTCCACAGCGCAACTTCCCAGTCACTCTAACCCCAACCTGCAGCGATGCATGTCACCAAAGCGCAGGATCCGGCGCTTGGTCTCGCAGTCATTCTGTGCTACAGAGAGCCTGCAGACGAGCCGCGCTCGAGCAGAATTCCCTTCTGAAGGACACGTGAAGGAGCATCAGAGCGCTCTGCAGCGCGCAGCACCGCGCACACCCGACAGAACGGCACCGGAGCACTCACCGCGGACTTCAGGAGGTGCAGGGGGTCTAAGACATCCGCCCACAGAAGAAACCTCTGCCAAAAAGACTGCAGGAGACACGCGTGTGGGTGACGCCGTTAATGGCGCGCTGCCCGTTCCGAGGAGCCCCGCGGCCTCTCCCTCCTCCCGCCCTGTCCCGTCCCACGCCCCGCGGCTCGCCCTGCTGCTGCCCGCCGCCTCACCGGGCCCTCAGCCCTCCAGAGCCGCAGGTTGGCGTCCATGGAGCCGCGGCACCGGAAGGCGATGCCGGGGGACGGTCCGATCGCTGCACGCTCCGCCCGGGCCCGGCCGGGGCTGCGGGGATCCGAGGTGCGGCGGGAGCGGCTGCCGCTCCGGGTGGATCGCCGTCCTTCTGAGCAAAGGGAGCGCGGGGTAAAGCGGCGAGGCTGCCAGAAACGCCCGCGTGTGTGCAGGAAGTTAAAGGGGAGCGAGCCGAGGGAAGGGAACCACGCGGCCTGGTGAAGAATGGCGCGCCAGCCATGGGAGCTCACGTACAGCTGCCATGGAAAGCACTGCCAGGTTGCTCTGTGTTAGCGCAGAGGCTCAGCTTCACATACGGTAGGTGCAGGACGTGAGTTTTATTGAAAAACGGCAGGGGTACTTGGGGTTTCATAACAAACTGAACCGAAATGCTGGTGCTACAAAGGTATTTGCAAGTACTGCGACCCACAACGTGGCCTTTCCCTGTTTTTCCTTCCTTTCAGCTACATTGCAGCACTGACTCTATTAGAGGGCTAATTTGGGAACCGGCGCCTTTGCCAGCTGGTTCCCTCATCTTCTGCCCACCGTTCACAAGGGGAGATGCTGAGAAACCTGTTCAGAATCGTTTCAGTTCCTCCAGTGGCAGCAGCACACCAGCCTCCAAGTGAGCCTCACAGCACTTGTCTGGCTGCATCCCTCCTCACCCCCACACAAAGCCAACACAGCTGGCTGCTGCAAACAAAGGCACAAAATGCAATGGCAGCCTGCTCAGAAGAGAGAGATGATGATGTGGGAGAGAAGCAGAAAGCAAGCAAAGACAGCTACTGCAAGTCAGTACTAGGATTTATTGATGGTACCACGAATGCAGGTATGCTATATTCTTTTAAATGGTACAATTTACAATCGACCTTTACATTTTCTGGAGGCAGATTCAAGCAGACAAACAAGGCTTTAAATGAAGGAAGATTGTTATTAAGCTCCAGTAAGCACAGTAGTGCAGTGCAAATTTTTAATTATCTCCTAGCCAGAATGCAAGCTCATAATACCTGTTAACCTGTGTAGCTGCACTGTATTTTGACATTTTGTATTCGGCAAGATTTAATTTGTACATACATTGATCTTATACTGTGGACAGAAACTTTCTCGTGCGTGTCATTTCATCCCCTGAAAAAAAATACTTTAAAAGAACTCTGTCAAAACTGTTTTCTGTATTGTCCACTTGCACGGTTTCCAGCTCGTTACAGAAGGGCATCCATCATGCGAGAGAAGCTAAGTGGGAGTTTTCTTTTTCCCAAAGCTAGTTAAGCAAAGAGGGAAAACAAACTAAAAAGAACAAACTGGAACATAGCTGTTTTTCATCCACTTGTCACATTCTGGTTACAGGCATGCATAGAACTTAACTTGCTGAAGGGGAAAATAAAGCTTTATTTTTTACCTTATTCTTTTTTAAAAAAGGCAAGAGAGGCAATAAGTATTTCAGCATTTAATTATTGTTTTAAAACATGAGGAAATGAGAACCTTTCTTCTTCCATAATCACAGCCACTTAATGTCTTCAGCATATAGCAACTAAGTTTCATCTGCGCTTCAGTGTTTATGTGTCAAAATATGTGTCAAAATATTCTTTAGAAGCCTTTGGAGTTGGTTTGATCTGTCAAGAAGAAAAAAGTAGTTATTGTATGATGTAACTGCGATATAAAAGTTATGGACTTGACATTTTATCCAAGAAACAAATACTTTAATCAAAAACATTAAGTTATTTCTGTTTCTGCACTTGGCTGGAAGAAGTATGAGCCCCTACTTGCCAATTTGAAGTATACCTAACACGCTGCTCCTGCTAGATATCAAGCAAGGCATGAAGCAAGTAAAAATCCATAGACAACTGCTGGAAAGTGCAAACATTTGAAATACAAACAGCGTTTTCTAAAAGAAAGTCAGTGACTTTCTTCACAGAAATCACACATTTAATATCATACAAATAAACTGAATTGGTCCAGTGAAAGCCTCGGGCTTAGAAAAACAGGAAGAGATTCATTGAAGCACTTCGTATTAAAGTAGTTCTTATCCCTTGGGACACAGAAGAACATGCCAGTGTCTATATTTAGAACAGTGATATTTAGCACACACTTACTGTAGGGGAATCTGGAGTCCAGTTTGCTGGGCAAACCTCTCCATGTGTTTCCACATACTGGAATGCTTTCACCAAGCGAAGGGTCTCTTCCACACTGCGACCGACAGGGAGATCATTGACGCTCAGATGCTTGATGACCCCATTTGGATCAATGATGAAGAGACCTCTGCAAGTGAGTGAAAAATCTCAGGAATGCAAGTTGTATTTAAAGATCAAAGCCAAGAAACAGATGAACAATTTCAGGGTGGTAGTCAGATGCACACTTCAGGCTTAGGAGCAGCAATACTGCATTTGATGTATTGTTAGTATGGTGATCAAAAGCTAACAGCCCACAAACTGGTATGGTGTTGTGAAATTATGCAGTACACATCAAGACTATTAAGACAGCAAGATGTACAAGATAGAGCTTCTAATTCATTCTGTATTTCAAAGCTGATAGCTAGAATCCTTCCTGTATCTTTTTTATATGAAAATCCAAAGGCACTGAATGAAGAGCTGCTTATGCAATAAACTACTAAGTTAATTTCTGTTATATATAAGCCAATGTGGAAATTAGAGAACAAATTAATTAGTAGGGTGAGATTCAGAAACAAATGTCTGAAGTCAACAAAGAAGCTTCTATTTTGAAGTGAAAAATAACAGCACAGATGAGGGCAACCTAGAACAATGAACAATACTGATTCAACATTGAATCAGAACATTAAGCAGCCTTCTGTGGACTTTTGCCACTCTTTCACTGGAAAGAAATCAAATGAAACACTTCCCTCCACACTTCCATGGCACAGAAAAGCCTGCACCTGAACACTAAGAATACAGGATTACTTTGGGGATTATAGCCAGCATAAACCTTCTAAGGAAAAGAAATGAAGAATCTGGATGTCCCTAATAGACTCCTAGGCAACTGTTCACTTTTAAGGACCATCATTTGCTTGTAGTATTTCCATGGAGTAAAAAGCATCAAGGATAACTAGGCTTGACTGTAGTGGCCTCTAGGACTACAGCTGTACAAACTTCTTGCTCACAAATTCAGGCACTCACTCTTCCCCTTTCAGAAAAAGAGAAAAAAAATTATGAAAAACATAGAAATTGAAAAATGCTCTTTATCCAACTCTCCTTTTCCTTCCTCAGAACAGAGTGGCCAGCTGTTCTCTGCATGCATCCTCAGAGAAGTCTGAAAAATTCTCAACTTTGCCATAATGGACATGCGCCCTTTTCCTGGGATGGGGGTCAGCAGCAAGGCCACAGAAGTTGCATCTTTCAGCATTCATGTGATCCCTGTACAGTTTCTCTTGGAGAAAACTGAATCATCAGCAGTCATTCATTACCTTAGTGCAATGCCAGGTCCTTCTAGCAGAACACCATAATCACGGGAGATTTGTTTCGTGAGGTCTGACAGAACTGGAATATTCATTTTGCCCAAACCGCCACTCTGGAGAAAAAAGCAAGATCCCATTTCGTTAACTAGTGCTGCTTAGGATTAACCCTGAGACTGGATTCAGTGCTCTCAAAGGTACATTAACAACAAAACACCATGAAGTTCACCTGGAGTGGTTCTTGGGTTTTCGTTTGTTTTGCTCCAAAAAGCACTCAAACAGTTGTTGTGTTGGGAACATGAAAACTTGTCTAGCACTGAGAACTTTAGAATTGCTTATTTTGCTGGCAAAAGGTACCAGTGACAACAGTTGTATTTCCATGAATATTTCCTCTGTACCTCATGTAGGAGCTTGGAATATAAGAATTCCTATTACATATTTAAGTGATCAAAATTAAACAAGATTAAACGTGGTGAGGAGGGGAGAGAAACTTGTATATTATACAGATGAAACACAAGGCTTCTCACAAACAAACCAGGTATGTCAGAATTCTGCTGCTCTCTGTATGCAGTGCATGCAATCTCCCTTAAGTTTAAATACTATTTGGAAGGTCAACCAAGATTGCTTTGATTTTTACAACACATTGGAACAGCAAGAGAGATAAGCTCCGTTATCCTTGAAATAGGACTGGCATTTGTTAGCTTTTCTACTCCAGCCATCATCAGTGGATCATTGTGTACTCTGTCACTTAGACCCTGACCTTGCAAATTCTTGCCTGCAGCAGAGTTATAATATACAGGGAGATGTCAAAAGAACCTAAGCTTTAACTCCTCTGGGTGTCAGTTTCCACATCTGCACCATTATGGAATTCCTTCTACCCTGCAGAATGTTTTGCTACGCATGCACGAAACAAGGCATGAGTGGTGCATGCTGAACAACTTCCCCATAAAGCAATGAAGGCAGTTTGTAATCACATTTCAGAACTTTAGCAAAACACGCAGAAGATTAAATACTCTTGATTGGTTCAGCCAAATCACATTAAATTAAGCAAACTTTCTTCCTTCTTATGTTATCAAGGAAAAGCCAAGTACCTGGAGGCAGACCAGTTCAACTGTGATAAGCACTTTTTGTGGGCTGCTGTCCCCCTGGCCACACATGTAAGAAGTGATTACACCACCCCCGCCTGTGGCGCTTCTAACTGCCTACATCTAACCTTTATGTTATCAAAAGCATGCAATTTTATATGCACAATGAAAGAGAATTCTCTTGGAAAGAAAAACCATCATCTTCATCACGTTCTTGCCCAGAAGAAACCAAAATACCTCAATTTATGTTACAGAAACAATTCTCATTCGCTGAAAAGATTTCAGTATTAACAATGCTCTATGACACTGGCTGTTGTTAACTAGTACCTCGCAGTAGCAGCTTCAGAATGGAAGCAGAACAACTGCTTTCATTTTCTGTGACATCCCTCACAAACCATCAGCTGTCAAAAGCAGCCTAGGACACCGACATGGGTACTTAATGCCTGTCTCTGAAGATAAACATAAAATATATGATGTAACCTACAGGACTAAAGAGAGCAAAATTAAGAAAACAAACCCCACTAAACAAATTACGGAGGAAGAGATCAACAACAGAAAGACTTAAAAGAGCTTAAGTCTAAGTCCTGTCAAAGGCAGAAAATACTTCACATGTCGCTACAGACAGTTTATTTATCATAATCAATGTTTGCAGAACTGCTTATTCTTCTCAGGAGCTCCTGTGGAAAGAAAACAAACCAAGGAGGGAAGCTGCCAGGAGCTGCTCCATCCATACCTTGCGTGGTGTATTTATCCAGGCCAGGTGGCTGAAGTGGGAGTCCACAGAAACCGCCACCACCTCGCAGTTCACATCGTGGAACTCATTCGCTTTGTTACTAAAAGCCACAATTTCTGTGGGGCACACAAAGGTGCTGGGTGGGAAGAGAAAGTGAACTGTAACCATTCAGCAAGCTTTCCAGACCGGTTTTACAGAAGGTGCTCGCGTTTCTGTTGCCAAGCACCAAAGCAACAGCATCTTTTGTTTAGCTTAAACTTTGAGCCTGTTTGCTGCACTCAAAGCAAGAGTTAGAGAGAGGGCAGAGCGGCTTCCAACCGCTGCTGGCACAGAGCGATTTCGGCATGGAACCCAGGGGCTGCGGGTTAAACCCTCCCGAGTCCAGCAGAGCCGCCCGCGTTGCTCCGCCATGACAACCCGCCCGGTGCCGCGCAGCGCCCGCCTGACAGGGTTACGGCCGCACTCACAAATCCAGAGGGTAGAAGAAAAGCACGAGGTATTTCCCCTTGAAATCATCCAGGGTCAGCTCTTTGAACTCCCCATTGACGACGGCCGTGCCTTTGAAGAACGGGGCGTGCTGCGTGACGGCCGGGGCGAGCCGCGAAGCGCCTGCGGGGACACATAACGCATTGCGGGCCGCCGCCTCCGCGCTGCCACCCCAGAGCACAGTGCGGCGGGGCCGCCTCGCGCTTACCCAGCGTGAGCCGGCGGCGGGCGCACAGCAGCGGCTGCGCCGTCAGCGTCCTCCCGGCGGCGGGCACCTGCGGGGACGCGAGGGTCAGGACCGGGGGGAGCCGCGCGCTCGTTCCCGCCTTCCCGCCCTCGCTCACCGCGCGGCGCAGCAACCCCCTCAGCGCGGCCGCCATCTTGAGCGCGGCGCAGCAAGCGGGGCCGGGCGGCGGGCAGGGGACGCGAGGGACAGGGGGAGGGGCGAGGGCGGTGCTAGGCTCCGAGCCGCCCCCAGGCGGCAGGAGTCGCCGTCGGCTGGTGCTGTGTCCTGGGGCGGGAGGAGCGGAGGTGGTTCCCGCAGCGGAGCGGTATGCGCTGGTGCGCACCGAAGAGAAAGAAAACGTACCTCGCGCTGCTGGATCTCGGAAAGCTCACGGATACGACATTTTGAAATGCAATAGACTCTTCCTGTACTGAGTTCGTGGTCGCGTTCCTGCCGTTTAGTCAGAAAACCCAAATGCTGACCAATATCTAGCAGATGGCAGCAGCACAGAGAGGTGTGCAGGTTGTGGGAGGGACCACATCTGACTCAGGTAAAGCTTCCAGCCATCCTGCTGCTTCAGTATCGCCATTTATAAATATCCATGGCCTTTTACCAAGGGGAGATGTCCCCAGCTGCTTATGGCTTCTCACTGGTTCACAGGGTGACAAGGCCAAAGTGACCAAAGTGGCATGAGAAAGCTCCTGGAAGCTGTGCAGACACTGTGGCTCTGATAAAAGTAACTTATTTCTGGGACCAATCCAGCTCAAGTGGTCTGGTGGCCTCTGTCACAGTCAGCTCTCAGAGCCTTCAGAAGAGGGAAGTCACACACAGCTTGCTTGTCCTGACTAACTATTAACCAGAATCAGCTCTCTAACACACCCAGGAGCTGTTTGGGACAGTTGGCATTGCCCAGAAGCATGTCAGGTACCTTCCTGAACATTTAACACTATGGACAGACCAGTTTTGCCACCTTTCTGTGGCACTCTTGAGTTTATTAATATAGATAAAAGCAATAACTGCCAGAAATGTAGCTCTGATAATCTTCTCAAGAGCTGCCAAAGAGAGCAACCAGAATAAAAATGTCTACTGATATGTGCACAGAGATACTGGGTGAAGATGGCAGTATCTAAGAGGAGGTGATGAAGATGGAGATGATACAAGGGAAGATGAACTGTTCCTTTAGCCATTCTGAAATGAGAAAGGAAAGGAAAACGTGGAGACTTAAGGATACAGATACTCCAGAGTTAACCACCACAGCAGTCTAACAGCTTCCTGCATCCACTGATTTCCTTGAATTCAAACATGCCTCACTATTGCTTTTGATGTGCAGCTGTTCCCTTCAGGCTTAAGATCTTCTAGCAAAGCTCTGCACGTGCATTTGAGAATGTGGGCATAGGTATGTGCTGATTTTGTCACTAAAACAGCAGTTTCTGAGTTGAAAAACCTCAGATGCCCCTTTCTTCTCCTTAGTGTTTTCCAGATGTGTTTGAGATAGAAGCTCAGTTTTGATGAGCAAAGACTGCCTGAAAGCACTATTTGGACAGGACTCTGATGACTTTGATGAGAACATCAGTGGCTGTGCAAGGGGAGTTAGCTGACTGAGCTGCTCAGCATATTTGAGTACCTCTTACCTAAACGTAGGAAAGAGGGACATTCTTTCTGAAAAAATGCCTCAAAGCCTAGAAGTGGAAGCAAGTATGCTATTTATCTGAAAAATGTATTAAATAAGCTGTGGGTGAGCTGTGTTGTAGCCTGTAGCTTTTAGAGCCTCCACGAAGAACAGCAGATGAAGAGAGCAAAAGCAGTTGTTGAGAATTACATCTGCTGTAGAGTTTAAGGAGATTTTAGAGCCACTGCTGAGATACCACAAGGGCTATCAGCAGAGCAGCAAATAATGGAGCTAGAAAGAGGACATCTACAGTGTAATAACTGGTGGCAAAGAGCAGCAAAGAAGTATCAGGCATTTATTAGGCCAGCTCCTTAAACAGCTATGCAGACTAGCATGTCAGCATTCACATGTACTGAAATGGTACCCCCTTCACATCAAGAGATGAGCTCTCCTGACAGCGACTTCTCCAAGGCTGGGCAGCAAACAGTAAGGTAAGGATACAGCTGCGTAAAGGGAAAGGTGATGGCAGACAACCAATTCTAAATTAGCCAAAAAAGGGTAATGGTCACAACCCAGTTTAAATAAATAAATAAATAAACAAACAAAAATTGCTTACCTGTCCAAAGACCAGGATTCACTAAACAGTCTAAAAGAAGAGATCTCTAGATAGAGATTGTTCCTTTGTGGCCACCAGCCCTTACTTAAATGAGGTTAGGGGGGGTGCAACCTTCTAGTCACACAAGTGAATTGCTTTCACTGTGCTCTCTTCGTCCCTTCACCAGGTGCTCAATCATTGGTCCAGGCTGTGACTTAGCAATTCCCGGCCAAAGCGGTTCCTTTCCCTCAGCTGCAGAGGAGCTGCATTGTAGCAGTAAAAATAAGGGACTACTGCTAGGATTTCCTGAGGATGGTTGTCTCACTAACAGATGATTATTCACAATTTCTAAGTTGATATATTCTAAAATTGTGTTTTCCCCCTCCCCGGAAAGCTGTATTTGTTTAAAACTCTTTGTTTAAACACTTGGCATGCAGGTGGGGAAATATTGCTCATGCTTTGTTATGAAGACAGAATAATTAAGTTTCCAAGACTTCTAGGCAACATCTTAAACTACTGCCACTTAGCACAAGGGGTTGTTTTCCACTTTACTTTTTACTGGGCATCCCAGCAAAAGGATTTGAAGATGGGCTTTGTTTTTGCCGAAGTGTGGGTGACAAAAGAATCATTCCTTTTCCTCAGCACCAGTTCTGATGCAGGCTGGAGCAGCTGCTAAACCTGGTTCTTCTTGCCATCTGTAGTTCAGAATAAATTTACCAAGTGGTGTCACGCGCACATCTGTCTCAGCATGTTGTTGGTTTTCTGCTTTGCTGTGTCACTGTGCACTTCTAAAATCACAGTGTTATTGAGATTATGTTATTAAAAAAAAAAGACCGGGGAAATCACAGACCCCAGTCTCATTTCATCCTGCAGTGATGGAGTGCTGGTTCATACTGGTACAGCACAAAATCAGCAGAGAATGGACATGTTAGTTTTGAAGGATTCAAATTTTAAAACACAATTCTAACACATCTGAAGTTGATGAAAGACTTTCCACAGATTTCAGCAGGCTTTAGCAGAGAAATTTGTATCATTGCAAGGTGCAGAACAGTAGATAAGGCATTTGAATAGATACTGAAACATGTAAATTCTTTTTTTTTTTTTGTTATGACACCTGCCTGCCTCTTCTTACTTTATGCCTTTTTCCCTATCTGGGAATAATTAAATTTGCCTTGGTGTTAAGAAAATATATAAATTGAAATCTGTGATAAAAAATACTGGATAATACTCGTATGTAGTTACCATGGTTTTGTGAGGTTGGTTTTTAAAGAGCTTTTTCAATGTTTGTTTTTAACAAAAGAAGCTTCAGTGGGAAAGTAACTTCTCTCTAAACTTGGTGAATGGGACAAGGAAATCCCTTAACAGATCTCTCCTGCTTCTGACAACCATGAAATGTCAGATTCTGTGCTGATTATGGGATGTGTACTTCTGCTTGTTTAAAAAATAAAATCTGCTCATCTTCTAGATGATTATTTTATTCCATATGCTTAAATGCTGTCACAGTCATTTATCTTCTACTTTGAAGAAACAGTTGATTGCAAGAAACAAAACAAAACAAAACAAAAAACAAAATTTGGGAATGGAGCGAAACTACAGGGACATAAATATTTTCACATAAATTAAAGCAAAAAGTTGGGTTTTGAGAAAATGATGCATCACCCCATGGCTGTTGGTAGATGGCAGCCTCTGTCCTTATGCAAAAGGGCTCTGTAAAAGGTCACAGCTGCCCGCAAATGCTCTCCTGGGTCTGTGTGTCCCCATCTGCTCACACAGCATCTCGGTGGGAGGTGAGAAAAATTGTATTTCAAATGCAATCTAGCTAAGAGGTAATCGTGAGCAAGCTTTACTGCATTAATTATGTATTGTAACATGGAGATGGGTGATAGCCTCTGTTAGGGTATGTTTGCAATTGATAAGCACAGGCAAGCCCCTTTATGACATCTGATTCAGCTGGGACCTTATCCTGATATGCCCAGCACTGAGGCCGAGCGCTTTTTCTCTGGGGATAGGAGAGAACTGGGTGTGTTGTGTGTTGCTGCTGTGCTTCTGGCTGGAGCTGCACGAGCCCACCCTGCCGATGACTCATCCCTTAGAGTGGCTCAGAATATCACACTCTGCTTTGCTGCCTTCCTATCTTTATTACGCCGATGCATTTGGGTCTCACACGGCGTTGGCATTTCATTTACAAACCTCTTTTCTCCCATAAAAGAAAGATGGCTGCCAGCCCCGCTTCAGCCTGGTGTTCAGTTCTCAAAAAGTGTTTTCCTCAGCCTTTATTGAATGGCTTCAAATGAAAGGTGTTTTGTTTAAAAGCTGAGTAACCACAGTAAGAACTATACATTTTCCAGTTTAACAGGGCTTTTTTTTTTTTTTTTTTTTTTTTTTGTAGCCTCTCCTTTTTCATTTTCTTTGAAAACTGGCTGTTTCTGCAGACAACTCAAACTACATTTTTACCCTTTGCTCCTTACAAATGCTGCATTAGGATCTTTAACCCTGGAAAGAAGACCTGTGCTTCTTACCTGCCTCACTGTCTTTGAGTCTATTCTTTCATATTTGAGCACCAAAGTTTACAGCACTGAGTAGATTAAGATATACAGAACAAACTCTCAAGTTTCCTGATAATGAGCAGTTTATTTTCCCCTCACACTGATTGCTCATTAAACCAGGCATAGTATAGCCTGGATTAAGTCTGTGTTGTTGCAAGAGAAAATTGATACAAGTAAATGTACCTCTTTCTAATCTTTTGTTATTGTTTTTGTGAACCAGGTGTTCAGGGTGACACAAGAATGAAGATACAGCTATAAGAAAGTCATAAGGTAAGATTCCAAATGTTACAGTGAGTTTTGAAAATACCAATGTATGGACTTCAGGTGAAGTAGGTCTGTGCCGTGACAATTGATCTGTCAGTCCACAGGGAGTGTGAAAAGGGCCATCCCTCAGAGTCCTGTGCTGAAGCACAGCCTTGTGTTATGTTCAGGCTTTAGAGATAGGAAATGGAGATGGGGGAGATGGGGGAGGACTGGCTGTCTTGCTTTGTTATTCAAAGTAGGCATTGTGAGAGTGAACACAACTCCTTTGTGTTCTAGGGCACCAAGGTGTCTCACATGTATTGGAAACAAGTTTTATTTTCTTAAACACTAAAAGAATCATTAAGAAGACCCACTCCATTGTTCTTACTGACAGACCCAAATTTAAAGTTGCTGCCCTCTGTATAGATGTGTAACTCTGACAAACGCGTTCCTGTAGAACTTCAGCAGTCCATTAGCAGAGTTGAGCTTTCCACTGCCTGCACTCAGCCCCATTTAAGTTCAGTGACTGCTTCTCATCTTCTTCAAAGCAAAGTCATCCAGCTGAGTGTCAGTAACCACTCAGGCAGCAGCGCAACGTTCTGTTTTGTTGCTGTCCCTGTTTCTGAGAGGACTGTGTAACTGTGCCTTTGGGTGCCGGAACGCAAAGTTAAGAGCTGTGCCAGTTCTGAATACCAGGTATCTCGTGGGATCCCCAAGCACCACGTAGATCTTTTATGACTCTTTTGATAATTCTACTACTTACCCCTTCAGGAACTAAACAAACATTCACAAAATATTTAGGATGATGATTCACATCAGCACTCTGAAGGCATACTTCTGTTTCATAGGGCAGCACTGCAGAAGACTGTGCATAGCACTAAAGCAGAGACATGTAGCTATAGATACTAAATGAAAGAGGAACAGTGGAGCCCTCAGATGTGTATGTGCTGCTTTTCAAGTGCTTAGCCACCAAAATTAAGATCTGCAAGTGCCTCTCTTCACGTGGCACCTATATAAAGGTCATGCACCAGACCCAGTCAGTGCTCCCTGTGCAGTAAGTCCCTTCCCATTGAAGAACCTGGTCCTGGGATGTGCAAGCACAACAACATTGCACTGCTACCAGCAGAAGTTAAGCTTCTGGTACACATTTTAGGAAACAACGTGTAAGATGCCTATATTCTTTTTTCTCTTTGGAGATAGGGCTTGCCTGTAACATTAAAAATGTTTTATGAAATAAAACATGCAGCTGAGTCTTCCAGTGCCAGTCAGACTCCAATGCTGGCGCTGCCCTTTTGATGACTATTAGTGGAAGGCTGCAGTGATGTGAAATGCACTTCTAACCCAAGCATAATTTGCTCTGCTTACAAGCGAGCATCAGTGCTCGCACAGAAGTGGTCAAACAACATGCAGGGCAGACACCCTTTAGGAACCTCATCTCTATGCTCAGGCTCTGGTTTCCAGGAAGCAATTTTTCCCTCAAGAATTATTTAATCAGAGAAAAATCTTCCGGTACTTAAGAGACACAACTGCTGTTGTATAGAAATTGGCATTACAGAGGAAGTAGCCACAACGCGGCGTGGCTACCGGAGATAGAACGTTTTCTGAAGCAAAGTGGAGAGAATGGGGAATGTGGTGCACAGCAGAGTCCTGGCTACAACTGTAGCAAGTTTCCCACCTTTGACACTCACACAAGGCATGAATTGTAGCTCTACTGCACTCATGTCCAAGGTGTCATTTATTCAGTGCATTGACTGTTTATATTGTTATTACCTTGTTTATTTGTTATTTGTTTCTGTGTTGATAAAATACATTCACTAGCAATTTGCAAGTCCTGCCATTGCAGGTCACATCTGGCTGGCTGTAGAAAGAAACATGATCGGTGGAAAAAAAAAAAAAAAGATAAAGAAAGAAGCAGGAGGAAAAAAAAAAAAAAAAAAAAAAAAAAAGTACTGTCTATGTTCCCCCAACAAGAAACTGCACGTTTATTCCATTTGCTCTGCATGGATTTAATCAACGCAGTACTGATGGGTGGAGAGTCTTACTGAGAGCGGTGGGTCGTTTTTATTCCGCTTGCTTTGCCTGACCTGCTGAACGTTCTATCGATCCACCTTGTTGCCAGGAAAACCAGAATCATGCTGACTCGAGCATCTGTCTCGTACGGGCAGAAAAAGATTTATGTCGTAGCCTAGCGTTTAAAAACAACTTTCCCCAAATGGCCGATGCCCCGAGCAACCTCTCACGGGGATGAAAACCCCAAAACACAGCGCTGCCGAACACCCGTGCCGGGGAACGCGGCGCGGCCCGGCCGAGCTCCGCGCCGCTGGGTGGCGCCCGGCGCCCGGCCGACCTCCGCGCCTCGCCCCCGCCCGCCCGCGGAGCTCCGCTCCCCGCCGCGCTGCGCCCCGCGG